TTTTTTTTTTTTTTTTTTTCCGATACTAGGGATCGAACATAGCACTTTGCACTTACCAGGCAGGCACTTAAGCTGCTGAGCTATATCCCAGCCCTAAGATAGGCTTCTCAAGTAGAGACATCTGATTTTTCCAAGAAAGCATGTAAAAGAACAAAATAAGAAAAGTCACCATGTTTTGGCCTTTATACTTCTTAATATCTAAGTTCCTTAATATGCTGCTGGTTTGGAACATATATTTAAATAGCAATAAAATAAAAACTCAACCTTGTTTTACAATCTGCTTTCCCATACCCAAAAAGAAAGTATCCTAAAAGTACAGAAATCCTTGTGTCCTTGTGTTTCAATGCCAATGGAAAGGGTCATGGTAAGAGAACTTCTGTCCAAGCCATCATGTCTAGCTTATCCTAGACAAAAGTCATTTCCCATCTGTGTCCCTCAGGCTATTTTTCTTTTTTCTTTCTTCTTTTTTTTTTTTTTTTTTTTTTTTGTATTTAGTACAGGGTCTACAAGGTCTACTAGGTGTCACTATGTAGATCAGACTCATAGTGATTCTCCCATTTTTGGCCTCCCAAGTGCTGGGATTACAGGCGCGCACCACCATACCCAGTCTCAATCACCGTCTCAGTGTGCCCAGCGGGCAGGGCTGGCACAGCACTCCGGGGATCGAACCCTGGCTGCTGCGCTCTGCCTAAGCAAGTGCTTTAGTCCCCTGAATTATCAGGCCAGCCCCCTCAGTCTGTTTTTCAACGAGCTGACAGAATGGGACTAGATAATCTCTTATACAGACTTTCTGTAGAAACTGACAAGTAAAATGAGCTACATATACTTTTCTCATTTGAAGATATCATTAGTCTTTATAGACTTCTACATATGCTCGAAATTTTGGAAGCATCTTTCATCAGCTTTGAGTGGTGCACTTAGATTAACCTGCTAGGCTTCCAAATCTAGCAAAACCATAAACCTAATATTGACTTTCTTCAGATTTTATTGAAACAGCAATGCCACCTAGTGGACACAAACGCACTGGGTGACATCACTTGTAGATACCTGGGCGGGACAGAGTGGGATTCACTGTCTTTCCACACTGTCAAAAAGGTTGCCAGTCATTTCACCAAAACATCAAGACCATGAGTACCATTGGGCGGGAAGATATCATGGAATGGTGTGGTTAAAGCTCTGATTCTAAGCCAAACTGCAAAGTTCAAAATTTGGCAGGGCCTTTTCTCCTAGACAATGTATCTGACCTTGCTGAGTCTCCACTGTAAACCAGTAGTAGCCCTTGTGTCTCTATGGGGGAAAGGGGCTTCAGTCATTTATTATTCATCACTCCCTAGGACAGCATCTGCCATGTTAAATATTATCATTATTGATGATATCATTGCTATTATAATTATTTACCCCATAAGATCACTGGCTATTGGTGGCAATATAATTATTTTTTATTAGCAACTATTGTCCTAACCGAATGTCTTACAATTCAAGCTCATTACAATCTTAGTCTGCCTATAATGTGTTTGCATGCCCATTTTACAGATGAAAATACTGAGGCTCAGAAGTTACACTTTGTTAAATCAAAGAACACATGTGTGCCCGGGTCTGAGTAACATCAAAACCCATTCTTTTTAACTTTATAATTTCTCTGTTTCCACCAAACAAGGGTAGTCCTTCTCAAGTAAACTGGCATTCCCATTGCAAAACATATTGGATGTTCGCTGCCTGCCCTATCTCCTAGGTGTTGGAAAGTGAAGCTTGCAGAATCTGCAGGCTGACATCTTGATTTGGTTTCATTAATGGGCATCTAAAGCTGATCTGGTTGATGACAAGCTGTCATAGAAAAGACCCTACATAGACAAATGAGAAAATATGACTTTAGCCACATTATTATACCTGGGTGAATGTAAGGCCATGTGATACCAAAGACTTTCTGTCATCATTCCAGGCTGCTATGAATCATGACCTGGTCCTCTGCCTTCTTGGAATGCTCTGAAATATGTAGAACTAGGTCATGATTCTGAGATGGGATCAAGTTAACAACAATTTTTTTTAATTTTTATTTATCACATTTGTTTCAATGTCACCCATCAGTTTATTTATTTTTTGTATTTGTTGGCATGTGTCTGGAGCATATAATAATTAAGCTCATCGTGAAGAATTGCTGCATAGATGTATTGCATCTTAGTCATTTTTCTTCCCTCTCCGCAGCCCTTCCCTTGCCGCTCTTCCTTAGGTCTCCTTTCCACCTCCACAGGTTGTGTCTGCTCAATACCAGCTTTTAAATCAGTCTATGCAAAAGAATGTGTTACTGTTTTGAAATTTGTACTTAAAAAGGTGTAGGGATCTTGACAAAATAACGTAAGTGACCATATGCAGCTCCTCAAGTCGATTATATGCGTGTTACTAGAGTCAAGCATATCCCTCAAAAGGAAAACACTTTCCAACACAAAAAAAAAACCTTTCCAAAAATACACCAAAGGCACTCAGATTTCCTAGACCGAGTCCAACGTTGCTGCTTTATTGTGACAGAGGATGTAGACATCCTTTTACACATTTCAGTCCATTTGAGCTTCATACTGACCCTCAGGTCAATGGGGAAGACACCATCCCACGGTCCAGTTGAAAAGCATCAAGTGTCAAAAGAATGAAGGATTTTCCTAGAGCACAGAATTAGTTAATCAATTAACCCTAATCCTACTATCAGTCATTCCACTACCCTAGACTGCTGGGCACATGTTTTCAAACCTATTTTTTAAATGTCCCATGAACTCAAAACAAGCAGCACATGGCTCTTCCCCTGCCTTCTCTGAGACTCATTATATACTTGCGATGTGGAGGGGGCAGTCCTGGACATGTTGGGACAACGCTGTGAGAGGGATGGTAGGGATCAACCTCTCTGAGCACCCTTTCTCCTCAGCCAACTTCTCTTCCCAGACTTTTAGGAAAGGAAAAAAAAAAATAGGTGAGAGGACAGAAAACATGTCGAGCATTTCAG